TCAATTAATTTGGGAAAATTCAATAATCAGTCCTTTAGTCGGCTCACGTAAGCAAAAGTGAATAAGTACTTAGTCAAGAACTACTCGAATTTTCGAAACATTTTAAGGTAAGACTAAGACCGAATGGAACATTTTCGTGTATATTCCAGATATAAATTAAGGCGAATGGAATTCACATGATTGTATCGGTGTCCAAATCAATTCAAAGAATTTGTTTCATATTCTAACTAGACCACATTAATTGCATAAATTTAATTTCTGAAAAAGAATAACATTTCGACTGGTTTTTATTAGAATTAAATGATTCGTCCAAATTAAATTATGGTTTCGCAACATTTTCACTTTTGCTAGCCCCGAAACGAAACAGTTACTAACGACATTTTTTTCGTATTCAAGTAGAATGTTGAGACTATGAGTTAATTAGTTATATGAGATGAATTCACCCTTTTTCATTTAAGGTGATAAAGGACTGGTAATTGAATTTTCGAACAATGAAATGAGTAGAGCTGACGCTCACAATGCATTTTACAGAGCCTTGCTTTCCCACAAGCTTTTATCATCCAAGGTGGATGGCAAAGGCTATGTGAAATTCAATTGGAACATCAGCTCTACTCATATCGTTGTGGGAAATTTGTACTACCAGGAATTCAAGATGTCCCCACAGCCTCCAACACAGATCCTGTAATTTCTGATCTTGATGATATATTCGCACTCTGGCAGAATGGGAAACAATATGAGGAATTTAGTTAGAATGGAATGTGATAAATAGTTGATATGGTTTGCGAGACCGAGAGGAAAAAAAAAGATCGAAAGTTGTGCCAATCCTGTTTTAGAGACCTCCTTTCGATGAGGCTACTTTACAATTTTAATCTTATCAACAAATACTCGAATTTGCTGCATGCGGGCCTTAACAATCTCTATTTAAAAGGCCCTGCCTTTTCATTTGCTTTTCTTTATATTTCTTTGCTCTCTTTCAATCTCAGTCACTGTCATCTTTTCCCCAACTGAATCGAGAGACTGCAAAAGACGCCTCATGTTTCCCTTCAACTTCTTCAAGCCATCGTGCGCTCTACCCTCCATCTTGCATGTCTTCATGTCACTGCCTCCTGCTAATGCCGTTTACCCGAATCCCAGCCACTACTATTGTCAAGCTGTACCATTCTATCCTTCTCTCGGATCCTTTTTGTGCCAGGCATCTTCAGCACGATTTGTATGACCCCTCATCAGATGCTATCGGCATAGCATTCGTCATCTACCAGAACATCAAATAATGTCTCTTTGTTTGGCGATTTTGTCTGTCGATATTTAAGTCAGATCAACCTGCATTGTACAATTACTGAAAATACCTCTCGTCCTTTCCAGCTTGACCATGCAGCACTATGTTTTGTATATATATGGCCGAAAATCAGCGATAAAAACGACTCCCTTATGCGTTGCCAAATCTACTAACACCACCACCGAGTTCATATTTAATATATCTTGGTACGTCGCAGCTACAGGTGGATGAATTTGTGTCAGTAGCATGGTCAACAGGAACGAGCATGCAGAAAAGATTGACTGCTCAAAAGAGCATCTTGGTTGACAATAAGTGTCAGTTAACACCAACGCAACATGATTTTGGTCATAATGTCCTTCAGTCGTTGCTGATTACTGAATAAAACATGCTTCGAATATGCATACAAAAAGATTCTCGCCTCATAACTGTACTCGGAAGTGAGGCTCAGCTAGAAATATTCAGCTTGACACAGAACTTATGCAAGGATCGCCTGAACTGGCTCTGCGATCTGAAGTCTTCGGGACAGCAGATCTTCGAAATTAAGCCAAGCGCGAGACCTGATGCCACGGACGTGAGTTGAAATAAGTTCATTAACGACTCTTGTATGCTTCAGGATTGCTGGTTTGAGTCTGGACACCGAGCGGAGACGAATTCAGGGAAGTCCATCCTCCTGCTGATTAACCACCTCTCAGACAGGCTCGGTGACGCGGTTGAATTGCCAATAGTCCCAACGATTGGATTCTAGGGGAGGTGAAATATCGCAAGCCTAGGTTCGAAAGAGTTAAATTTTTCCCGAATGAGATTATCGGTAAAAGACAAGTTGACACATTGCATGTCGCCTGCTTACACCGGGGCGATGAATCTTTACCTGCTTCAGATGGCTCATAATTATCGTCTTCTGAAAACTCTTTACTGTTTATTGTTGTGCATTACTACTTTAAATTGCGAAAAAGATAAATGTTAATGTTAAAGATGGCACTTTTCTTCTATCGTTGGCCTCCCCGTGATTGATGCTCAAGATGGAAACTGTGACTAGTGCGGAATACGGTTCTGGCTTGCGACAGTCTCCTTTTGCTTGGGGCAAAGAGATAAGACAGAATAAAAGATATGTGACTAACCGCAGTCACTATATTCGCTTTAGGTGATTAAGGACTGCTAATCTATTTCTCCACAATGATATAAGTAGGCCTCGCAAAGCCATTAAACTTCACTTAACCTTAGAAGTGGTCCAACCTCGTTTTTGCAACATGGTCATGCTGTTAGGGTGACCTAGTTGCACACGCTTTGCCCTAAGTTTTCTGCTATAGTAGATATCATAATTCATAGCGTTGGACTGCGGACTTGGTACATTCACAGACATTAACGCCTTGTCTCTTTGACGTCCTTAACTATAGCCATGTTTACTTGAACTATGGTGCCAACCTTGCGTCAGACTTGGATAGTGACTAGAGCAGATGCATAATATTGGTTCGTTTTGGTAAATTGCCTCATGGGACATGGCTTAGCCTCACGGATTAAAATCCGGACTTCACGCTCTCAATGCTAGACTCAATAAGAATAAATTAGTTAAAGACTAATGCTAACACCTATTTGAAATATGTTGGAAGAAGAGCATTATTTAAAAAACTCTTGACCAACACTAAGTCAGACATTTACTTTCATATGTATATATAAATATATAAATAAATAAATAAATAAATATTTATATATATATATATATCCCATAAAGACATGTTTGGCTTCTCCATATATATATATATATATAGAGAGAGAGAGAGAGAGAGAGAGATTTATTTATTTATCTATTTATATATTTATTTATTTATAGATATAGAACATGGAGAAGCCTGACATGCCTTGAAAATCACATATCATCTGATTTAGTGATAGCATATAGCTTCCTAACGCAGTCGACCCTGTTTTGAATCCAGTTGGCGCTGCTGATGGGACCTTAGTGGGGCCCAATCCGCAGTCAACCTTGGATGAGACGCGTAAAAAACACCACACAGCCAGGAATTTACCTGAGCCATGAACTAACAAAATCACTCTATACCTCATTAAATGCATATTTTTGAGAACATGCCTTTGTATTTTATTGACTGCTTAGCTTGAATATGCTTGAAAGAATAATACCCTCCCTTGATGATATCCATCACATGATTTACGAAAGTGTAACTCTTTTTTATTAGAGCTGAGGACGATT